GCGCATAGAAGGAAATTTATAGCACTTAAATGTAATGTCTGTATTATGAAAAAAGCCTCAAATCAATGACCTCAGTTTCCATGTTAAGAAAATAAAAAAACAAAGTATAAATTAATCCCTACATTAGTAAGAGGAACAAGAATGGTAAGAACAGAAATAGATGGAACCAAAAACAGGAAAAGTACAGAATGAACCCAAAAGCTGGTTCTTTGAGATGTTTAATAAAGTTGATAATCTTCTAACCAGACTGATCAAGAAAAGATGGAAGAGTCAAGTTACCAATATCAGGAAGGAAAGAGGTGACATCATTACAAATTTTGTAGATATGTAAAATGATAATAAGGAAATACTGTGAACAACTTTATGCCACCTGTATGACAATTTAAATGAAATAGATGAACTTCTTAAATGTCAAATTACCAAAGCTTAACCAAGAAGAACTAGATAATGGAATAGCATAGCCCTAACTCTAGTAAAGAAATTGAAATGATAGTTAATCCCCCCTTCACCCTCACACATGCACACCCCAAAAAACAAACAGAAAAAACAAAACTTCAGGTCTAGAAGGCCTCACTGGAGAATTTGACCAAATGTTTAAGAATGAAATAATACCAGTTCCACCTAAAGTCTTCCAGAAAAATAAAAAAGAAAGATTACTTCAACTCAGTCTACGATGCCAGCATTACCCTAACACCGAAGCCAGAAAAAAGACATTATGAAAAAAAGAAAAGATTAATCCAAAATCCCTCATGAACATAAATGTAACAATTATTAACAAAGTTTTAGCAAATTGAATCCAACAATGTGTAATATTGATAATATATCATGACCAAGTGCAGTTTATCCTGGGAATGTAAGATTAGTTCAGCATTTAAGTAATTAGATTTATCATGATCATCTCAATAGATGGCAGAAGAAGCATTTGATTAATTCTAACATCCCTTTCTTATTAAAAAAATTTAGCAAGTTAGAAATAGAAGGGAACTTACTCAACTTGATAAAATGCATCTATGAAAAGCATATATTTAGTATTATTTTTAATGGTGAAAAACTGAATGTTCCCCCCACTCCAAGATTAGGAAAAAAGAAAGGATGTCTGCTTTCACTAGTTATATTCAATATTGTATGGAATATTCCAGCTAGTGCAGCGAGGCAAGAAAAAGAAATAAGAGGTACCAGATTGCAGTGGAAGAAGTAAAACTGTCGTTCTTCGGAGAGGAGGACTCATGCTCCCTGATTTCGAGACTAATCAGAAAGATTCAGCAATCAAGACAGTGTGACATTGGTTGAAGACAGACAAACAGATGAGTGGAGCAGGAATAACCAAGAAACGGACCCACCCAACTGTGGTCAAAAGAGTTTTGATACATATGGTAAAGCACTTCAGTAGAAATGGATGGTCTTTTTAACAAATGGTCCTGGAATAATTTACATAGCCATTTGTCAAAAAACAAAAACAAAAAACCCCTGAACCTCTACTTATTTCTTGCTGTGAACAAAAATTAACTTGAAATTAATAATGGACCTAAATGTAAAAATGTAAAGTATAAAACTTCTAGAAGAAAACATGGGAGAAAAAACTTAGTGACATTGAGTTTGTCAAAAAGTTCTTAAATACAACATAAAAAGCACTGATTACAAAAGATAAGTCAAATAATTGGACCTCAATAAAATAGAATCTTTTGCTTTCCCAAAGTACTGTCAAGAAAATGGAAAAGCAAGCCAGACTGGGAGAAGATATTTGCAAGTTAAACATCTGACAAAGGACCAGTATTCAGAATATATAAGGAACTCAATCCAATTAAAATTGCACAAAAGATTTAAATTAGTCACCTCAGCAGAGAAGGTATGTGAAATGCAGATAAGCTCTTGAGAAGATGATCAGCATCATTAGTTATTAGGGGAATGCAAATTTAATCTATAATGAGGTGTTACTGTATATGTACCAGGACAGCTAAAAGTGTTGTCAAGGAGGTAGAGTAACTGGAACTCCCCTCCACTGATGCTGGGCATCTGAAATGGCACAGCCCAGCCATTCCAGTCCTAGGGGTTTATCCAAGATAAATAAAAACATATATCCACACAAGAACATGTATACCAATGTTTTCAGTCAAAGTAGGCAAAAAAATTGGCAACAATCCAAATGTCCCTCAGCAGATGAATCGTTTAACAAAATGTGGTATATTCACACAACAGAATACTAGTCAGCAATGAAAAATGAAGAACTCTTGACACACTCAACAAATAGACAAAAAGTGACAAAAAGCAGACCAGTAGTTGGCTGAGCATGGGAGGCCATGGGTGGGGGTGGGAGGGAGAGGGAGAGATCACAATGGGGACAAGGAAACTGTCGGCGATGATCAGTGTGCTCCTTTCCTAGCGATGGTTTTGCGGGTGTCTATGTGTCAAATTTGACCAAATTGCTATGTGTCAAATGAGGAAGAGAGAGAAAGTGTGTTTTAAATCACTTTCTATTGTGGTTTCTATCTCAGTTGGAAATACTTGCTTTTGCTGTCCATCTTTCCTCTTAGGTAACATAAGAAATGCCTTAAACCTGTAGGAAATTAGAGTAACATTTCTAAAATAAAAGTTATAACAATGGCTCCAACATTAAACTGGCAGGTGTCGGTTCCTTGTGTGATGTTAATGTTTATTAGAGCATAGGACAATTGGAATGCCTCTGAATTGAGAAGTTTCAGAATCAGCAGAGAGAGCTAAAATAATTCCTTATCTCATAGAATAAATCTGACACAAAGGAGTGTGCACTGGGGTGACTGCCCAGGTGTGGATCACTTACTCATCTCGATACTCCCCAGAGCTGAGTCCTGAGGGTGCGTCTGATCTGGAACACACAGGGCACCTAGGGACGGCGCAGACAACAGGATGTTTTAATTCACTCAGAACAAGGCAAGAGGGATTTTATTCAGACTGGGATGTTTAGGGCTTTCCAAGGACAGACTGATTTTTATCATTGGGTTCCAGGACTATTCAGGCCCCCTGAGAAGTTTTCTAACTAGGGAGTAAAAAGCCAGTCTCTGTTGATGTCTTCACACTCTTCTCATTTATATCCCTAAATAAATCTCAGCCTTAGTCCTCTCTGTCTGGTGATGTGCTCTGGGGCTTCTCTAGGATTTTTGTGGAGTTGGAGAATTGAAGGACTATTCTTTTGTACCCCTGTTGTCTTTTTCGTCAGTCTCTAATTACTCACAGATCTACATAAATGTGACAGATTAACAAGCATCCTTGAAGCCACTCTCTGATGTGGCTGAATAAAATGCCTGCTTTGCATTCATTTTGTACGTGTGTGTATGTGTTTAAGTAGCTCAGATTCCTTGTTAGAGAATGGTAGTGTATTAAAGTCATGGAAATTGGATTTTGGAAATCCACGTGCCTGCTGTTCCTAATTTTTATTCTTGTACTTACCTTTCAGTTTTCTTCTGAATCTCCTCTTCCTCCCTACAGGAAGAGTCTCTAATGTAGGAAGGAGCTCTTAGACTGGGAGCCTGGGCATCTTTCTCTCTGGGTGTACATGAATTTGTGCAGAATGGGACAAGTGAATGACTGTGGTCTAATCCATCACTGGCAGCCTTTGACAAGTCACATCTATTGTGAAGTCTTCTGGGCTTCCTACCCCACTGTGGGAGTGTTAGCACTTGGTGGACAAACAGTTCAGCGGAGTTCTTCACCGAGAGTGCTAGCTGTGTAGTTGTCTGCTAGGCCCAAGTTCAAACAGCTGAACCACTATTACACTTCATTCTGGCCCAGCCCCAGCAAATGTATGTAGTGTGCAGTATTTATTTTATAAAATGTTCTGATATACTGGGAGAAAGAGGAAGTGAAATTCAAACCTGCTGGTTTTGTTATTTGCAAACATTTCTGCCCTAAACTATGTATTGGGAGGGTTCAGTCTTTGGATCTTCTTAAGACCTATTTTTGGTGCCGCTGCTCTTCCTGCTTCCTTCTTCAATAGGTAATTGACATCTACCAAAGCTATTTGGCACTTACGTTAATTTTTAATATTCATAAGAATATAATTTCTCTTGAGTCTGTTTCTTCTGTTAGCCCTTGGCAGCTAGACAAACTTCCAAATAAGTATAACACATCTGGCTTGGGACCTATTTGAGGGCATGTGTCCCTCATTAATTTATTTCTGAGCATGGACGTCAGTTCTCTTTGATAAATATTCAGTGTGTGGAACTGGGAAGTCTTTTCCTTTTTGTGTGTACAACTCCATCACATGTGGACCACAGTAGTTCTCCCATTCAGTTAATGGGAACTTGTCTGAATGTCATTCTGTCAAATTCAATTTCCAACAGGGAAATGAGGACTTGTCAGATCTTTCTCCTCTCTCTGAGCCCTTAGTGCATCTTTCTCTGTTTCTGTGTTCCTTCTGCGAGTTACAAGCATTACATCCTTCATAGATTGATGTCAAGTTTATCTTTGAGGACTTAGCCTATCTTGGTAGAGTAGTATTTTCTTACTAAAAAAGTCATTCATTTTTAATTGCCCCCTTAATAGTAAATGTATAGTGAATATCTGTAAGAGGAAGTATATTAGCAGCTAATTCCATTAAAACTGGTTAGGTTCATTAAATATTAGATCTTGAATGTTATCTTCCTATCTGTCTGTATTTTCTTAGTATACTGAAATTAATTCTAGCATTTATGAAAATCTTGAAGTCATCTCTTTTTTAAATGTAAAATTAAATCATGAAGGATGTAACAGAAAATAAAACTTGGATTTTTAACAGAGGAGTTAAAAATGGCTTTTCCCTAGGGTTTTAAGGAAAACGCTCTTCTTAATATTAAAAGGTACAAATGGAGTAGATGTGGTAGTTCTGATAATAATTGCATTACTGAATGTTTCGGATTCTCTCAATTATAAATTAGACTGTTTGCCTATAATTATTCTCTTTTGTGTAAGTAATTTATCTGGTAGGCTGGTGAGTAGCAAAAAGCTCATTTCTTTTAGACTAAAATGTTTACTTGTGTTTGTTGCAGGAAAACCTCACAGCACCGGTAGCTCTGAACGGATTCAGCTCTCAGGAATGTATAATGTCCGTAAAGGCAAAATGCAGTTGCCAGTGAGCCGATGGACCAGACGCCAAGTCATCCTGTGTGGGACCTGCCTAATAGTCTCGTCTGTGAAAGACAGCTTGGCCGGAAAGATGCATGTCCTGCCACTGATTGGTGGGAAAGTAAGTTTAACACAAACCAAAGATTGAAAGATTTTCTGGGGTCTTTAAGGAGCTGACTTCGAGCCATTTCTGTAGTAAGGGGTGGATGGTTTTTGACTCGTCTGAGGCCTTACTCGGTTCCTGTTGTGCCTCCGCCTGTGGGGCATTTTTGGTTGGTAGAGTTTTGGAAAATAACAGTGCCATTGGATCATGTGAGGCCCTGGTTATATTCACTTCATTAGCACGTGCATCTTACCTATGGGACTGAAAATAGAGCAGCTATAACGTCACTGTTGTATTTCAGACTGGAGGTGATAAATTATTATTTATGAGAAGACGTATTTTGGTATCATGAGCATGTGTTTTGTAGTGTAGTAGCATGATCCCCAAGTCCATGACTTTAGGATCATTCAGGCATGCTTATCAAAGGTTGGACTCTCTGGCAGGAGCCTCTGATCCCACTTTGCCTTACCTCTCTGTTTATTTGTGTTTAGTGACCAGTGGGTTTAGCACTTTCAGTCTATCACTACGACTAGTCATGAGTTTTGAACCTGAAATGCTACTCATTTCGGAGAAAACACTGGCTGCTTTCTTTTGGGCATGTTAACTGTTTTATTCCTGTCATTTATAAGGTAGAAACAAATTGCTTAGGAAAATATTACATTCTTTCCTTTGCCAGATTTACTTATAAACTCCAAGCATTGGTAGGGATATCATTACCATAATTATATGCCAGTATTCCCTGATTTTTAAATGATAGGATAATCTGTTAATAATGGAGAAGGCAGTTTTGGATGAAGAAATGGATTTATGGAAATCAGGGACATATTAAAAATGTTTTTGTTTATCATTTTTCCACCTGAATAGGCGAGGGAAAGGAGACAAAGCATGGAAAACAGAGAGAGAGGAAAAATAAGAAACCTACTTTTGTTAAAATGAACTTTTTGTTTTTAGTCATTTCTTTTTTTGTCCCTTTTAATCTGAAACAGTTCGCAGCTTTTTTTTCATTCATGACCTTGACATTTTGAAGCATTTAGACCAGTTGTTTGGTGATTGTCCCTCAATTTGCATTTATTTGTCTGAGGAATCTGTATTTTTAACATCTGCCTCCACCTTGAGCCCTTTAAGAGGATTGGGCAGCCCTAAGATGCAAATACACGGAACTCTGACGTCTCAGTAATGCTGATGCTCAAAGGACTTTTTAAAAAAAAGCTTCGTGGGATACCAGATTTAGCTCCTCAGTGGGTTTTAGAGTTTGGGACTTTTTTTTCAACCTTTTTTATTGAGTTATATTCATTTTACAATGTTGTGTCAAATTCCAGTGTACAGCACAATTTTTCAGTTATACATGAACTTACGTATATTCATTGTCACATTTTTTTTTTTTTGGCTGTGAGCTACCACAAGATTTTGTATATATTTCCCTGTGCTATACAGTATACTGTACTATGCAGTATACTGGCAAATATTTGATCTGTTGGTTCTAGGGATTAGAAATGAAAGAGTTAAGAAAGACCAGATGTGTACAGCAATAAATGGTTTTGTTGTTCACCTGCTATGTAGCAAGTTCATTCTTTATTCATAAAATAAAGTTTAAATTAGTCCTTCCTTATGAGTAAACAGCCCATGTCAGTTTTTTGCCTTCTACTATTATATATTCTAGTTTTAAGACTACTACTTCAGTGTTTAAGAAAACAGATTTTGGCTAGTCTGCAAAGTGTCTTTAGATCTATTTCAGTCATTCATTTTGAAACTGTGGCTTCTTAACTTTTATCTAAGCATTGAAAAATTAATGATAGTTTATTACTGAAGATCTTGTCCTTTGGATGGATTACTGAAAACTTAGTCATCATTATTACTGCCATAAGTCATCATTAAAAATGTGCATTTAATATCTGATGCCCTGTTAGACCAACAGTCTGTTTCTTCTCTATGATGTTGGGCATTTGCATAGGCAAATTTAATATTTCTATTAAATATTAATATTTAATTAATATTTCTTCCCTCTGTGGGGAAGCCACCTTGCTTGACGATTCAGAAATACCAGGATGGGTAAGTCACCATCCCTGCATTTGAATAGCTTGTAATTTACTGTCTGGAGGTGAAGGATGGACACAGTAGTATCTGCTCTATGAGAGGTGTAGAAAGCAGTGTGGGAGATAAGTGCAAGGGCAGATTACATTTTGTTGGGGGGAATCAGGGTTTTGTGATGAAGCATGGAAGAACTTGAAGGGTGAAAATTCTCTTGACATATGAAGGAGATGGTTGGAAAGATTATTGTGCTCAGAGAAGCAGAGGCAGGAAAGCAGTGGAATGTTCAGATCAGGTCAGGAGATCCAGTTGTAATTAGCATTTTCATTCAGTGCTGGAGATTTGTTCTGTTTCCCAGGCCTATTATTGGATGTACTTCTACCATTGAGTGCACTGAAAGTTAATAGCTTCCTTTTCTCACAGATAAACCTTGTAAAACCTGTTCTGTGCTACGCCTTTAAAAATAACTGAGTATGTGGAAAAATCGAGTCTTTTAAAATCTGTTAAAAATCAGGAAAACATAATTCACTCTTTGCAATCTGAGTTTTCATTAATGTTTGTTTCTTTTCTTTCTGAGTTTTCATTAACGTTTGTTTCTTTTCTTACTCCTGTTGTTAAAGGAAAAATGGAGAGTAAATGGAAGAGGTTTTTTTTTTTCCAATTTATATTAAAAAAGAGCTAAATATGAAGTGTGAGATAGATGGGTCATGACCTAGCTGTAATTACTGTGATAATCAAATTTAACACACCACTTGAGCGTGATCATTAGTTTATATTTTCAAATGTAGAATTCCAAATGTGAAGTTAAGTAAAGCTTTATTAAAGTTTAATTGCTGAAAAAGTCTAATAAATAAGTTTTCATTCATTGTGCAATTATTATATTTAATTTGTTCTTTCAAATATAGCATAAAATTTTAGATAACTTTATTTTACTTTATATAATATTTTACTTACTATTAGATAACTTATATTTTACTTTATATAATATTTTACTTACTATTAAGTTACAAAGTGTAATAATTTGAGTAACTGTTTACTTACTACTCAATTTAGGAATCACAGCTATGTCAGTATCAGTGTTTCTGCCTGAGTTCTCTTCACATCTGTCCCATTGCCTCCTCCTGTCCCAGAGGGATCCACTGTCCCAGCATATGTATTCATCATTTTCTTACTTTTTTGAAATAAATTTTATCATATAACTATGTTTTGCTTGTTTTTGATCTGAATAAAAGTAATAATGCCCAGTGTGTGGTTTTCTGTGACAGAATTTTTCCACTCAGTATTATGTTTTGTAATAAGATTTTGTTACTTGCTATATGTGGTTTTCATATTTGTACACTGTTCCACTCTGGAAATGTTCCACATCTCCATAATTTCTTAAGTAATCTTCTTGTTGATGGACATTTGGGTTGTTTGTAGGTTTTTGTTGTAAGTGATGCTGCTGAAATAGTCTTATTTTGATACGCTTCCTGGTATACAAGTGGTTTTTCTAGAGCAGGATTTCTCAACTTTTGTTGCTGTGTCTGAAGGGGACATTTGCTAATATTAGCAAATGTTTTGATTGTCAAGTGATTGGATAGTCAGTTGATGTAAGCTAAGTTATGTTGTGGTAACAAAACCCCCCACATCTCAGTGACTTATGAGAACAATGTATTTCTCACTCACACTGTTTGTTCAGTATGGGTTTGTGGAGATTTCTTTTTTCAAGTAATTATGTGGGGACCCAGCCTGATGGAGGTTCTGCTCTCTTAAATAATTATAGTATTTGTAACATGTGGCTTCCTTGGCTGCATAGGCAGGGGAAGAGGTAACTGGAGGGTCATTAACTGGCTTTTGTGTATTTGATTGTAGAAGTGACACACTCCTCTTCTGCCTGTTGCTCCTTGGCCAGAATTAGTCACGACTCCACCTTAACTGCAAAGGTTCTAGATAGTGTGTTTGGTTAATACTAATATCTTTTACTGCAAGGGGACACTGTTGACATTTATAGGGCTGGGGCTCAGAGAGTAAAATGTCATGCAGAGTATCAGTCCTGCACAATGTACACAAAGAACTATTCAATCTAAAATTTCTATAATGACCTCCTTGAGAAGTACTGCTCTTAGGGACATACTCAAGAGTGCAGTCACTGGGCTGTAGGGCATATGTGCACCTTGACTTTTACAAGATGATGTCAAACTGTTATCTAAGGTTGTTGCACCATTTCATAGTCACGTCAGTGTACAAGTATGCCCATTTCTCTGCATCTTAACCAAACTTTTCTGAGGTATAATAGATATACAACAAACTGCACATTTTGATAACAATTTGATGGCTGTATTATATTCCCACGAATACAGTTTGATAGATATATACACCTGTGAACATCCATCACCACACTCAAGGTAGTGATCATATCATCACCAAAAGTTCCCTTGTGCTCCTTTGTTTCCTTTCTGTTCCTGCTTTTCCACTCCCTCCTTCCCATTCCCAAAAAACACTGCCTGATTTCTGTCAAATAGCATTTGATTCCGATTAAATAGCATTTTAAAAAAAATCATGTTTTCTCTTTGGTGTATAGAAATGTGGTTGATTTTTGAGTGTTGATCTTATGTCTGGCCATCTTGCTAAATTTTCTTATGCATTCTAATATAATGTCTAGATTTTTTGGAGTTTGCTGTGTAGCTAATCATCTCATATTCAAATAATGACAACTTCTTTTCTTTCTTAATACATTTCTTTGTCTTATGGTAATGACCAGGATTCTGGTACAGTATTGAACAGGAAAAGTAGATACTTGTCTTATCAGTGATCTTAAAGAGAGTGGTATCATTAACATTGACACTTGCCTTAGATGTTCAATAAATATCCTTTGTTGGTTTAAGTGAGTTATTTGTGTTCTTAGTTTGCTAAAGAGGTTTGTTTTTGTTTTTGTTTTTGTTTTATCATGAATGGATGGTGAATATTATCAAATGCTTTTTCTGCCACTGTGGGGAAGATCATATGGTTTTCTTTAATCTGTTAATGTGTGTGTTCATGACTAAGGTTGGCCTGTAGATTCCTTTCTCTTAGTGTTCTGATCTGTTTTTGGTTATAGTATCCTCATAGAATAGGTTGGGGTGTTTTTCTTCTTTTTTACTTTGGTGGATGAGTTTGCACAAGTTTGGAATGATCTATTTCTTAGAATTGGTAAAACTCATCTATAAAATGATATGGGCCTGATATTTTCTTGATAATTAAAAAAAATTCATTCAACTTTTTAAACGGTAATAGGACTACTTAGGCCTTCTTTTTTTTTTTCCCTTGTTTGGGTGTTGGTAAAATATATTTTTCTAAAAATTTACCACAAATTGTTTATAACAATCTTTTTAAAATCCTGCTTAATCTATGGTATCTCCCTTCTCATTGTTAATATTATTTATATCTTCTATGTTATTTATACCTTATATCAACTGTATCTTCAGCTGATATCATTGATCAATATCATTTGATACTCAGTTTTGTTAGCCTTTTCAAAGAATCAATGTTTTGCTTTGTTAATGTTTTCTGTTGTGTATTTGGTTTTCATGTCATTAGTTTCTGCTTTTTATTATCACCTTCATTTTACTTTTTCACTCAGTTTTTGTTTTTAATATTTCTTTCCCTAAGTTCTTGAGATACATGCCAATCAAATTAATTTTCTGCCTTTTCTGAGTACTTAAAATCATAAATTTCCCTCTATGTACCTGTTTTTGTTGCATTCCATACATTTCAATATGTAGTATTTTTTAGTGGTTTAGTTCCAAGAATTTCTAAATTTTGATTACAATTTATTTTTTTATCTGTGAGTTGTTTAGAAGTGTATTATTAACTTTCTAAACATATGCAGATTTTTAATTGATTTACTTATTATGGTTTTTTTTAACATTGAATTTTTTATTCTTTGTCTTATTATCCAAACTATTCATCTGGGATTAAAAAGTTCTAGTCTTTTTTAATGAAATTTGATATTTTTCTCTAAACTCTTTTCTACAGGGTATCCCATATTTTCTTTCTTTCTTTCTTTTTTTAATTATTGATTTTTAACTTAATTTTATTTTGATCCCAGAACGTAGTTTGTGTGATACTGATTTTTTGAAGTTTTTTACACTTTCTTTGTGAAGTGGGCGTTTTTGTAAATGAAATACAGGAAACATTCAGCCTATGAAACATGTGAGTTTGTGTAATGTCATGTTGCTTTATTGTTTGGACTTTTTCTCCTTCTGAAGAATTTACTAGGAGTGGAAATTTAATTTGACTATATCACTGCATTACTAGGACTTGAAATTTCTCATGGTGGGGTTTTATTTCAGGTTAATCTCAATTTTACAAGAAAATTTTTAAAAAACTTATTTTACATGCTTGAAGTCCTCTTTTTAAAAAAAGACTGTAATTCAGAGTAATACAAAAGTCCCCTAAGTAAAAATTCACCTAAAGTAGAATTCTTAAGTAAAATGTTAAGTAAAAAAAAGACTCCTACAAGAAAGTAAAAACCCCAGCACCCTATCAGGAGGGTACAGAAGGATAAGAAACGGAGTCTGTTCCCATTTTAAACAGGAAAAAGATAATTTCACTATTATGGGGAAATCTGATGAGGGTAAAACGCCCCCCATTTTGGTTCCTTGTAATTCACATCGGTTGGTCAGACTCAGGAACTTACATGTTTTAAGTCATAAGAGGAACACATGCAGGGATAGATGCAAATCTGAGCAGACTCACTGATCTAAGGTAAAGCTAACGAGCTATGCAAATGTTCTGCTTTCTGACTTGTTTTTGTCGCTCCTTGTTTATTTTTATAGGTAGAAGAAGTGAAAAAGCACCAGCACTGTTTAGCATTTAGCTCCTCTGGACCCCAAAGCCAGACTTACTACATTTGTTTTGATACGTTCACAGAGTATTTAAGATGGCTTCGACAAGTCTCCAAGGTAAGCACTTAACAAGAATTCTGTTTAGCTTCTGGCTGGCTAAAGAGTTGCTTTCTGCTTTACAAAATATAGTTATACACTCAATTTTTTTTTTTCAGATGCTGCCAGTAGCTAGCAACTTTTAGTTTTTTAAAAGCTCATTTTGGTGGAAAGTAGCTTTTTTAAAATTGTATTTTATTTGCCAGTTTTGTTTGTACTTAAAAAATTCAGTGTGTAGACTGGCATTATTGTCTTAATATTATAGGGAAGGAACATGAGACTGAGGATATCTAAGGGACTGGCCCAGGGCAGGACAATTACAAAACCACAAAATACCTAGAGAATTGTTAGAAATTTCCCCTTTTCCTCTGACCATTTTTTCTTATAAACAGTCTAGTATATCATCTCTTTTTTCACCTTTTCAAATTCTGCCTCTTGAATTATTTAATTTTTTTCATCTCAGTTATTTTTACCATTTTATAGACCTCTGATTAAATAAGATTACCATGACCAAAGAAACAAAATACCTCTGTGTGTGTGTGTGTGTGTGTGTGTGTGTGTACTGGAAACCAGGATAATGTGATAAATAAGATAAAGAAATGCTGGTATTTTAAGTGCTGTGTGTGAGGATGTTTCTGCATCACATTTGTGGAATTACGTACAGTGGGTTGGATGGCAGTATACTTTGTGCCTTGCTTTTGGGTGTGTTTATGTAATGATGAAACCTCTCTGGGGTGCAGAAGCCTTACAGTTGAATTTGCTTTCATATTTTTGAATTTATAATCCAGTTTGTTGTCCAAGTTCAGTGTGAATCAGACTACTGCATGATGTAATTATTTGTCAAGTGAGTGAAAAGGAATGACTCTGTTGAACAGTTAACAAAAAATTAGAGAATAATGTCTAGAAAGTCTTTTTGAAATACTGATCACATTTGAATTATCAGGGAAAAACTGCGTTCTCTGATGATTTTAGGAACACTTAGGAACGTTAGTTTCTCTTTTGAGAGAAGAAGCAATGGACAGAGTTTAGGTTAATAAGACTAACCTAGCAGGCAAATGGAAGTTCTAAATCTATAGGCCAGTACTCCTACTAGGGAAAGTGGGAAGGATGACACTTGTCCTTCAGACTTGCACGTAGAATTAACATGATATTGGAGGCAACAAGTACGTCTGCCTAGTTTTCAAATTACATTGTGGTTGCAAATGTGAGGAAACAAATATTAAATAAAAATAATATTGTGCTTTTACCATTAAGTGGTTGTATGAGTTCAAAGCAATAAGTCAATGGCCCACACTCTGTTCAGAATAAAATGCCGAACTATGGTCAAAGTGCATTTTAAATTTCTTTCTATATGGAGATATTGTTTTTTTTAAGTAAATTTTTTGTTTTGGAGTAATCTTCTATTTATAGAAAAATTGCAAAGACAATGTGGATTGTTTCCATATACCTCTCACCTGACTTCCCAATCATCTTATATTACCATGGTACACTTGTCAAAATGAGAAACCGATGTTAGTACATTACTCTGACCAAACTCCATAATTTATTTGGGTTTCACCAGTTTTTCCATTAATGTCCTCTTTCTGTCCCAGGGTCTTAATACAGGGTAGCACAGTGTATTTGGTTTCTCATTTTTCTCCCCTGATCTGTGATGGCGTTTTAGTCTTTCCTTTCATAGCCTTGACAGTTGAGGGGAAGTACTGGTCAGGTGTTTTATACTATGTCCTACATGGAGATGTTTTGATCTTTTATGCCAAATGCAGTGTAATAGCTGCTTTATATTCCTTTTGGAACTAGTCAGAGTTATAAATTCTTAGACAAACATGGATAAAGATGTAAATAAAAATATATATAACTTATCAGGTGTACCAATGACAGGTTATTTTGATTGAAACAATAACAAAAAGATTAATAGGGATTGACTTTAACAGTCTTGTATATTAAACAGCCACACAATTGATAAGTCACTGTTCTAAAGCCGGCAAGCATTTATTAAGTACCGTTTGGGTGTCAGGTGCATGTTTTATGCACTGGGATACAGCAGAGAAGAAGTCCAGTTTTCCTCTCTGAGTGGGGCTTACACTGGGGATGATAAGTAAACAGGGAAGAAAGAAAATACCCGATCATCATGCTATGATACAGAAGTGAAATGACACAGAATGATGGGGAGGGCTGACTCTGA